AATAATGAAGGTTAAGAAGCTTCGAAAATAGTGAAAGATAGCTATGGTATGAGCAATGGTAAGCTATTTAAACCAAATTAATTAGATTCCCTTATGGAAAAATTCTATTTTAAAAGTTAATTAACGAATTAAATTTTGTTAATTAAATAATATTACACTAATTTGATATTACACTTTTTTGACATATTTTACGTAGCATGTAACTACATAGAATTGTTTCCTTTACTTGACGTTCATTGTCAGTTCACTGGCGTAGTCAAACGATTGAATAGCCTTCACCGATCCGTCTGGTCAGATATTTTTTTTTATCTCCATTAAAAACTGCTGTTTGTTAATGTGTATGCCCTACAGGCAGTTAAACGAAAACCTTTTCCTTCAACGCTCAAAGTAAAAACCTTTGCAAAAAATGTATCTACCAGGGTTTAACCTATTATTCATTTGGAGTATTTGTTAGAAATGCTAATGGCGAAAAAATAATGAAAACAGCTGTGTACACCAACTAACAACAGTTGTGGACATAACTAATCCAGCGATTGTTTGAACAAAGTCTACTATCAATTTATTAAAAAAATGAATCAGCATTCTGTGATATTTCTTTTCCTCTTTATACATTTATTTGGTTTCGTCCCTTAACCATAGATCCAACTTTCGATGTCTACCACAATGGCCTCATGTTATTTCGATTGCGTCACAAATAAATAAACAAATAAGTCTTAAGGCTCCCATCTACCGGCCATTTCGATTTCGTGAACTTAATGTTAAATCTATGGCATTTCTACTGCCGCCCTCGAATATTTACTATTTTATCGATTGGAATGCAAATAAGCGCGTTCGAAAGAGCAAAAAATAACGAAGGTTATGCGGAATTACATTTTCTCTTATGATTTTTGAAAATATTTTAGAATATTTTAAAGATCCGAAAACCCGTGAGCGAATCATTGATATAGGTTTAAAAATATTTTTAAGAACTGGAGAGAAAATTTATTTCCGCACAAATCTTCAATATTTTTTGCTTTTTTGAATGTACTTTTTTGTATTCAAATAGATAAAATTTTAAGATATTTGAGAGTGGCAGTAGGAATTCCATAAGATTAATTTTACGTTCACGAAATTAAAATGGCTGATTGACAAGAGCAGTGGCATACCCGGAAAAAAATTTTGGGGATAACATATCGTCATTGCCATGACAGAAGCAGTACTTTAGTTTCGAATTACCATTTGGCAAAAAGTGAATAATACGCTATATGAATCTTATTTCGCTTGTTTAAAACCTTTCAAGTATTGATATGATTTATCAACTTATAAAAATTAAAAAAGTAAAGATAATTTAAGAAAAATAATTAATATATACCGTGAGAATAAAATTTGCCCCTTTTGGGTGGGGGTGCATTTTTTTAGGGATGCGCCCCCTTTCTTCATCTACAAATCCTGAACCAGAGGCACTCTTTCAGAGACAACAAGAATATCAGGATGAAATAAGCTTAGATATTTAAAGCTAAAAAGAAATTTTGGGAGCTATACATGTGTAACAAATTTCAACTCAATCGGATGTTGTTAAGTGTAAGGTCCGAACCCTCCCCCTTTCTTCTTTTAAATCTGTCACTGCTTGAGCACAGCATAACATACTGTCATCCAAGTCATACGTGTAAACAAAATTTCAACTCAGTCGAAAGATAAGAAGGGGATTAAAAGTCCAATAAGAAATGCTGGTCCGGTACTCTAGGTTCCCCTTTAAGTCCGTCACAAATTTTGAAATTTCTCTTGAAAAATATACATACATAAATACATACATATATGATTTTCCAGCTAATTACCTAAATATTAATTGTATTTTAAATGTACTGTGAAACCAGTTCCTCAGTTACTCGACAGATGGCACCACGAATCAGCGTCACGTGATAGCTCGTGCAGCGCCCCCTATTCCTAAACAAAACTTAGTGACGTTTCGTTCTCGCTCTCTTATCTCTTCTTTCCAGTTCTCTTGTTCTCCGCATTACCCTCGTTGAAGGTAAACTCCGAACGCCAGCGCGTGTTCCAACCCCATCGCCGATATGGGATAAAATTAGGCAGCCATCCATTTGTTCTCCGAAGAACTGTTTACTTCTAATAGAAATAACCTGTATCAACAAATTTGTAAATATATTTTCCTTCATCTCTGTTTCTAATAAATGAAGTAAAACAACTTCAAGCCTCATCATTGAATTGCTACGAAGTCACTATAATTGCTGCATAGTCATCCGGTAATGGAATTACTCCCCTAGACAAACCAGTCCTTAACGTAAGAGCAAACCAGTGTAGATTGGGGATATTCAATCTTCCACCCCATTCTACATACATATGAACATAGCAAGTTAAATAAAACCTTGTAAAAATTACAAGAGTTGAATTGATAGAATGGTTCTCTATTCTAAAAGTGATTAAATTTAAGGGGACTTTAAATTCTCTAAATAAACCTATAACGTAAATAGTGTAAAAGTCATTGCTAATTTGTAAGCCTTGGAGATATTTCGAAATTTTTAATTTCCATAAATAAGAACCTAGACAGAACCATTTACATAATAAGAACCTAGACAGAACCATTTACATGAGTAAAGCTTGTCCACAAAGACGAAAGTAATATTTTGCTCTGATACCTACATTGTAGCCGCTATAGCTTAGTGGTCATAGTCGCGGACTTGGACCGGCGTTTTGTCGAGTCGTGATTTCAAGCCCTGACTACACTAAAGATTCGCCGTGTAGCCGGGGATGATGTACGTTAAATCTGTCGAGGCTCACAGTGCTCCCTTGGCGTGGTGTGAAAGTTTGGAGAGGGAAGTGCCAGATCAGATGTCGTTTTCGACAGTTGATCGAGGCTCAAAGCTTACGAGGTCCGTCACCAATAGCCCTCGTATTGCTTCTCGGTGCGACGATAATTAACAATCACTCATACGGACACTTGTATTTATCAATTTCAAGAAATTTTAGATGTCAGCCACATTTACTGTGAATTTACATTTAGTTATTTGATTTCAATTAAAAGTAAATAAAATAATGAAATTTTAATGCCAGGACTTTACATAAAATTCTTTACCAGCGGTAAGACTTAGCAATAATGTGATTCTGGTCAAAGATTTTGCATCTAATAGATAGTAAGACGAACAGAATAGAATATTTTTAAGAAAGAAATTGTTCTAAAGGAGAATCCATTCGAATGTCAACTTTTCCATAACCTGGGTATGAAAAAATATGTAGATTTTTTTTCAGATATAAAATTGCTGAAATGTTCTGCATAAAAAGCAAACTTTAAATGTGTAGAAATTATAGAATAAATTGGGAAATATTTATATGTAATGCAATTAAGTCTTGGAAATCAACAACAACTAAAAATTGTCTTATGATAGCTAAAATATAGTAAATATTTTGATGTGGATACCAATAAAATCGTAGTCTCTTTGACAGGGGAAGTATTTAAACAATAAAAATTGAGTTCTGTATCTATTTACTATTTATCAAAAACAGTTGAGTGAGGATATATTTCCGCTATACATTGATACTTAATTATCACCATTTTCTCTTTTCCGTCACATATTGGTGTGGTGGGGAAGTTTGGAGAGAGAAGTGTCTGTTTAGGTGTCTTCCTCGGCACTTTACCGAGGCTCAAAATTACGAGGTACGTGGTCAGTAGCCTTTGTTTTGCTTTAAAGTGAGGCGTTAATAAACAATCAATCAAATATAACCACAAGATGTGCAATTTCTTTCATATTTTTTGAACTTTGTTTATTTCTATTCTTTTTTTTTTTTTACATTTCTTTTTTTGTCAAAAATTAAGTTTTAGAAATAAAAAAAATTATGATTCATCATTTTATTATTCAATTTAAAATAAATAATTCAAAATTTCTGTTGAGTAGTATACTTTAAACTAGTAGTGTGAAAAATAATTTATTAATTATTAAAGACTTTAATGTTTATTGACTAATTAAATGATTAATGGCTTTAATTTCTATTGAGTAGTACAAAAAAATGATAAGAAATGGTGAAGCTAAAATTATGGAATATTTTCGTATAGTTAGGATGCACACACCTAGCTGCTTTAAAGAAACACTGATTAATTTTTGCAGTCCGAAAATAAGTTTTGTCTTTTACTTATTAGGAAGAAAAAAAAAATAGCTATTATTTATTAGGGCTTAAAATCATAAATCTATTACAAGAACATAAAGATATATAGTTAATATATTAATCAATAATTATTACATACTTGAAAAATGATCACTATCAGTATTCATAATAAGAATATATATTTTGATAATATTCTAAAAAGCTTTAAAATACGACACATGAAACAGAACACTTTAAAAGTTTTGAATGCATTTTCCGTTTTCCTAGTCGTTTTAGAAAGGAAAATTTTTATTATCCGAAGAAAATCACACATTTAAGTTGATACGATTTCTTGCAACAATTTTCACAAACTTTCGTTTGAAAAATTTTGTTTTAAAATAATTTTTCGACAATTTTAAATTAAATATCTATAAAAATTTATATTTTTCTTAACTATCTAGTAAGAAGTATTCTTTATTTATTAAAAAACTTTAATTTAATAATATATTTCTTTATTCTAGCAAATTCAATGGTAATAATAAAAACAGAGAGTGAAGTTTTTTGAATAAAATATTAATTTTTAAAACAGTTCTAAAGCAGCCATTTTTACTTCTTAGTTTTCAAATTTCTCAACTGGATTCTTAACATAGTTGTAAAATACGTAAAAAGAAAACTAAATATGACTACTAACTTAATTGTTTCATTTCCATCTTTATTCTTTAATTATTTTTTCATTGTAATTATTTATTATTTTCTTTGCTGATTCCATGCTTCATTACAAAATATGTGCAAATTTAACTTATTACGAAAATTAACTTCCGGTAGATGTGAATTTGTTTCGTGCTATGCCTTTCTTTCTAAGTTCAGATCTTCACTTTATAATTCAGATAATTTTTTGAATAAGTATAATGACACCAAAAAAATAACGGCAAATTCCCACCGAGATTTGAACTCGGATTACTGGATCCAAAGTCCAACGTGCTAACCGTTACACCATGGTACCTTCTATTTACGGAATTTTATTTTAATATTACATTTACGGTTGAACCACAACTTCTCAGTTCGTGTTGAATTAATTCAATTCACTCAAACTCGTTGCAGGTGTTTACACACGTCGAAGCTTAGCCTTCCATATTCAAATCTCACTGCATTCTCATTTCTCTCAAAGAGAATCTACTTAAAAAAAAAAAAAAAAGAAATTCCTCCCTCCCTCCATAGAGAACATCCCCCGTCTTCTTATACTGTATAATTTTGTTTGAGTGCTGAATAAAATTTCAATCTATTCAGATATTTTAGAAAACAATCACGGCAAAGAGAATATTACGCTTTTCTTAACAATTTTACCTTTTTTATATCAACCGTTTGATTAAAATGAATGTGGTATGACAAAGATGACATTTTAAAGATAGAGCTCTGAATGGTTTTTAAATGGAAACAGAAACAATCCACATAATAAGTGGTACTGTATTTTTAGTAAAATTAACATTTTAGAAAAATGCTTGATTAATTTCGTATTAACATCACACTTGAGCTACGTAATTTAGAACCAGGGACAGATGACACTCTGTATGAGGAATTTTTGTCTTACTTCAGTTTAAGTTACGGAGATTTTTTGCACATTCTGGATTCGAACTTGTGATTCGACTCATGCATTGCTGTTTATTATGCTCGTAACTCAACAACTCTCACTGTGATATAATCAGCTAAGTCAAAGTAAAAGGAGAGCTGATTGTCATCTCGTACTTTACACCACAAGAATTGAAATATAATAAATATTTAAACTATGCACTCTCTGTTGTAATCTAATTTCAAATCGTGCGAAATTTAATTCAATTTATTACAGAGCCAAGTTGATTAAATTCTCATTCTTTAAATTCCATTCAACCCATTCAAATACCAAAGTTATATTCCATCGAGATTTGAAATAGAATATTTTGTTGTGGAGAATAAAAGATTAAATGTAAGAATTACCGGACTTTACTTTCTTTGTTTTATTCTAATTTTCTACTGTAAGTAATTACTTCAGATAGCTCCAAGATTAATTGGTTTTAATTCATCCAAAACTAATTAAAGACATTGTTATTATTGTTAATATTATTCAAACTAGTTATATATAACAGTTCAATTCCATCAAATACAGATATTCTACTTGAAAAACAAAAGAAAAAGCTGAATGTAAAAGAATGTTTTCACAAAAAATTGACGTTTTTAGAACCTTGCAAATATTGTAGAATCAAACGCATTCAAATATAGTTTGCAACAGTTTTTTTCCGGTTCCTCTCCCTCTTAAATTTAATTGTGTGATATCAGCATCATTTTCCTATCTCGTTTTCTTGCGAATAAAGTAATATAACTATAAAGATGTGTGATATCGCACATTTTTCCTCCTTGAAATTCTGCGACCATAAGCCATAATATTATATTCGGGGAAATTGGGATTAGATGTAGAGCTTTAAAACTTGTATGTTAAATCAGGCATTATTATACAATTTAATAAAAATACATGAGAGTTAGTACGTTTGAGGAAATCTTATATTTATATTTTTAAAAATACATATTTTTTAAATTATTAAGTGAGGCTCATAAAAGAGAAAAAAGTCAGGTTCCACCGAGATTTGAACTCGGATCACTGGATTCAAAGTCCAGCGTGCTAACCATTACACCATGGAACCACCTGCTTTACTTTTTCTCAGTTTCAATATTGTTTATATCATGCAATAGCAAATTCACAAGTATGTACAGATTTTTTTCTTTCTTTTCTCGCACGTAATCTTCCTGCACAGTTGTTCTCATAGTTGTCTTTCTACCATTAACGTTCAAATACAAATACTCTCTTTTATGTTTTTCGAGGGGAAGAGATTAGTGCCAAGGAAACATTTTTTTTTGTTCCTCCAAATTCTCTAGAAAGGATCGAATGTCTTGGCAAAAGTCCTACAAATCTTTTTAAAAATTTCTTAGCATTTTTAACTTTCCTCCAGATATTTTATGAAAGAGTAAGTTTCACAGTTTTAGTAACTTTAACCTGTTTCTTTTTTTGATATTCTTTTGCCTTTACTTGTTCCAATAATGCAAATGTGATTTTAATCATTCACCTAGCGCGTGAGTGAAAACCTCTTTGATAAGCGCACTGAAGGTATGAACCTAAGCGGCAAACTGGGAGAAAAAAAATCGCCAAATTGCAAAATTTGTTTGAATATATCTACAAATATGAATTTGAATATTTGATATTTGTTTGAATATTTCTACAAATATGAAAACCTATCATAAGCATTCATATTTTGAAAAATAAATGTAAAGAGAAGGAGGGAAATAATAAATCAAGTTCCACCAAGATTTGAATTCGAATCACTGGATTCAAAGTTCAGCGTATTAACCACATTGCATCTAACGAACAAGGAAGACATCTTTGCTTGTACATCCTCCTTCAGATATCTGCTTAAAGAGTCATGTGAGAACTTTGGGACTTAAATGGAATGTTTAGTATAAAAAAGTACATTTTTCTACATAATCAAAATGGAACTGGGCGGTTACGAAGGTTGTTACATTTCCATCTGGACACCGCACATTCTTTTCTGTACAAAGATTCAGTTCATTCTTGGCTCATTGGACTAGAAGTACGGGCAAGCATTCATTTATGTATATTTACCAAAGAGCATAAATCTATTATTAAAACATGGCCGTGAACTCAAGGCCGGTGTTGTTTGCGACTTTGTTCTGCGAATTTGCAATTTTTATTTATCCTTCAGAAGATTTTTCTGCATGGCCACCCAACAGGGTCGCGGTAGCTTAGAAGTTATGGTCTCGGACCGAGACCGGCGTTGTTTTTGTCGAGTCATAGACTCGAGTCCTGATGCCACTAAAGACTGGTTAGATGCGCATTAAATCTAGTTGAGGTCCCAAGTCTTACCATTGGTAGGAGAGAAGAGAGGGAGATGCGAGCTTTTTGTGATCCTTGTCACTTGACCGAGATTCAAAATGACGGCCGTTCAACAATAACTTTCACATTGCTTCCTTGTGTGACCTTAATAAACAATTAAAATCAAATCAAATCAAAAATCGATGCTGCAGTTAGTAACAACACGAGAGTTATTGGCGACGAACTTGGCCATCTTGAGCCTTGGTACCTATGAATTGACATCTCTCTCTCTCTCTCTCTAAACATCCATACCACACAAACGAGAGGACTTGGAACGCTTGTTAACAACATCGGACGCGTGTTCTTGGACACGACGACTAAGCTACCGCGGCCACTCGAATAGCTTAGCAAGAAATTTATAGGAGAATGAAAGATCTGTGGCTGCTATTTTTGTGCTAAAGGGATAAATGATGGGGGGAAAGGTCAATATCCCTTGTTTTGCAGACATTTTAATTCAAATTAAATATTTGTTCAAATTTCAAACGCTTCCGAATATCTTTAAAATAATCTTCATATTTGAAATATTGAAAAAATATTATGACGTAACTCCATTAAATAAAAGAATCTTCTAGCTCCACTTACCTGTTTTGAATTATTTTAACTGAACATGTTTTAAGTTATTCCTTCAATATTGATACTATCACAGGTGTTTCGATGAATACTTTTAGGAAAGATTCTCTTATTATTTTACTTTTTCCGTTTTTCACATATACTTACATATACTCATAACGCAATCGTAGGGCTACTTTATTTCTATGTTTCACGTACATTTACATCACTTTTGACCCTTTTGCAAAGTTGAAAGTGTTAAAGTAGCAAGAAAATATGCATGATCACGAATGTGTGATCTACTATTATAATATTTATGTTCGGTCGTATGTCTTAAAATACTTTCCTTAACCTTTATTCAAGGATGTGCGATATGATAATGTAACGTTTCTGTATAAATAGCTCTTAAATTGATTTGTTTTGATAGACACGAGAATGCTCTTTTGCTCGGACATTAAAGATTTTACGACCCGCAAACACCCACGATAAGATCGCGTGAGAAAATTAATTCAGATCGAGTAGATCTTAATAAAATTCAGTTCTGTCATGAAATTCGAATTAGAAGTGTGCGGCTAATGCAGGTGGTTCCATGGTGTAATGGTTAGCACGCTGGACTTTGAATCCAGTGATCCGAGTTCAAATCTCGGTGGAACCTGGTCTTTGTTTTGCTCTCCTTGTTTCGATTTTCTTTTTAAAAAGATTATTATTTCTAAATACTGATGTACCTAGAGAGAAAAACATAAGTGTTGGAAAGCTTTGAAATTTTAGGTTTCTTTATTTGAAAGGTTTCATTCAATTCACTGATTTGATTCATTTTCGATTAAACCGTGTTCCATGTGATGTTGATATATTCTCACTTGAAACAATTTTTTACGTTCGTAGAGCTCTTTATTCGGGATTTCTTGCGCTTGCTTATTAATATAGTAAACCTTCGAATTTAAAAACATTGCAGCACGTCTCCAAGAATATATATATATTCTTTTATCCCTATCCGTACTTTATTACTATTAGATATATTCGATGATTTTGAATTCAGATGCTTTGCGATCAGCAGTCTTTTTTAAAATTTAACCAGTATGAACTACCTTTTGTAATATTTAGCTTCTGTTTTTATACCATTACTAAAAATCCTTCATGATATGTTTGAAAATATAGCAGCGTTCTTTCAAATTCTTAATTATTTTCAATTTTGGAAATATTCCTATGATAACTTTTCAAAAATTTCTGATTTACTTGTAAGAGATTGCTGAACTCCAAATCCCAATCAGCTCATTCCAGCTGTAAACTTATGAAATATTTCGTCTCTTCACATTTTGTACTGTTATCTTACTAAGAACTTTCTCTAACATTTTTTTTTTTTTTTTATAGGGGCATATTTATTTTTTGTGCTTTTTTTTTTTTTTTTTTTTGCCGTAACTCTTCTTGGCATAGCACGCAACCAGAAGGGGGATATTTCTCCCGTATAATAAATACACAGTTACATTCGCAGAATTCCTTTTCGTTGTATTAAAAACTGATATAGTCATATAGTAGCATGAACTTCTGTTATGATCACACACAAACAAACACACACACACACACACACATATATATATATATAGTAATAAAAATAATATTAATTTTAAACCTACGTTTTTGTATTCCTCTTATTGGGCTGTGAGTCCTCTGCAGTTAGCAGTCCTACATTCTAAGATTGTCATTTTAAGAGTCGTTAAAACGGTATGGCAGGAAATTTGGAGTCTCGAGACTCGCAACAGATTTCTCTCGGCGGAGCCTAAGACTGGAGTATGACATAATGTTCCAATGCGCAAAGCGGATGCCCGGTTGTCTCGACTTCGAATTGGACGTACTCATTTTATGAATAAGCACCTTTTGGCTACTCTCAAACGCATTTCTTCCCATGTCCAAAACACGTTTCACCACATTTTAATTGTATATGTCCAGTGTTCCATCATTTTTTTCAAAATTCATCTGTTCTACGCTTATCTGACTTGGTGGGAGGAAATCCCTACCACAATTTGTTGGTTTATTTTTTACAAAATTTGATTACTAATCCAAATTTAAGATTTTAACTCTCTCTTTCACTTTTATCTTATTAATCCTATCCATCACAAATCTATTTTGTATACATCTGTTTTTAATTACAAATTATTTTTTCTCTAATCACTTGCCAATCTATTTTTTTATGTACATTTTATCTTTTTTTTTTGGGGGGGGGGGGGGGCCCGGAGTAGTAACTTAGGGAATTACAACAAAAGTTTAGCACAGCTTATCCTGATTTGGCTCTTCCGACATAACCCCGCAACCAATCAATCAACTGTCCCTTTCCTGGTACAAATCGTATCAAGAAAGTCTGTGGTAATTACATTTTGAAGAATCTTCTAAGTTGTGAACACTTGTTGTTAGCTCGCGTGTCAGTTCAAGCCGTTATCATTTATTTGTATGAAATTCTGAATGCGACAATCTTAGGAAAGGCAGGTGGTTCTATGGTGTAATGGTTAGCACGCTGGACTTTGAATCCAGTGATCCGAGTTCAAATCTCGGTGGAACCTGATTTATCAATTTTTTTTTAAAAAAAATTCTTTATATGCATTGAATTTAATGTTTGATATAATATTTAAGGATATACTATATTAAATATATTACTATTTTGCGATATTTAATTAAGGATTCAACATTTATCTGCTTTGAATCAAAACAAGAGGAGATTATCCAAGCACTTCCTCTAAATAGAAGGAGTGTAATGATGAAAATCTCGTTTTCAGAAATGGTTGAAGAAAAGATTGTGAATGCTGTTTTTCTGTAACGAAGAGGCGTTACTTCCACACTCACAGTCCACTAAAAAAAAGCGAAACAGATAAGAAATGCTAAAATTGCTAAACTTGTTCATTGAAAAGCAAGATCTTGAAAAATTAAAACAGTTAAAAAAAATTCTTTAAACTTTTTGCTCGACTTTTGTCAAAGCAATCCATCTTGTGAATAGAATTTCATGAAGTATGAGAACATTAAAACGAGCATTTGTAATAGAACACTATAAATATCTACTCAGTAGGATTACGTGAGTCACATTATGTCAGTATATACTGGCCCGAATTTGTAATGTATAATCATACATGTCAAGATAAACTGAGAAAGAAAAGCAGATGGTTCTCTGATATAATGCAGGGGTCGCCGAAGTGGTCGATATAGTATAATTAGGGTCGATACGATCCAGGGGGTTGATTAGGAGTCGATGAATGAATACCAATGCTATTCAATTGCAACTTTATTGACAGCAACGCAGTATATACCATTTTATGGAATGCCATTTGTAATTACATTATAGTAAGTAAAGTTTTCATAATAGATTATACCTTATTTAATTTCTCATTTCTGTATTTTTTTAAAATAATTCATTATCTTTTTTTTTTACGGTTTAAAGTATGTATGTTTCGTGATGGATTCTCATTCTCAGACTTGTGAGAAATGATTTTTGTTCCATTTTGCTATAAAAAGATTCAAATTAGAGCACAACTTTTTAAATCACGACTGTTTGATAAGATTTATGAGGAAAATGAAGAACTATCAAACTGATTATTTATACACACCGAAATACGATAGTTGTCAAGATGTACATGTTTACAAAAACTTGTTGAATTGTTTAAACAGTTACAGAATTTCCTACTGATATTAATCCAGCCTTAAGTGTCGAATTGCAAAAAAATAAAAACATATTTATTTGGCCGATGTATCTGCAAAGTTCAATGATATTCAAACATGTCACTAAGGAAAAGATATTACATTAATTCAAGTACGAACAATTATTTTAAGTTTTCAAGTTAAATTAAACTGTTTAAGTCTTCATTGTTTAGTAAAGATTTTCAATAATTTTGAAATGTACAACTAGATATAATCGTCGTAGGTTTCAGAATGGACTATCGCGCCACTTTCAGCTCAAGTTGGAAATAACGACAGTCATTTGCAAGATGAAGCCATTGAATTATTAGTTGACCTTGAAGCAAAGATGATTTTTAATAATTTAACTGTGAGTCAATTTTGTACTCGAATATAAAATATTATGCAAAGATATCTAAAATTTGTAATACGACATTTCTCTTTTTAAATTTATTTCAAAGCTCATATATGGCTGAATCTTGCTTCAATTATGTTAATTCTATTTTAACAACGAAGAGAAATAAATGGAATATGGAGCTCCGAGGCGAAGTAAGACTGAAATCAACAAATTTTGAACCAAATATTACTAATCTGGCCAATAATCGTCAAAACACATCTTTCTAATCGATTTATGTAAAAATTTGATTTTGTCAAAATCAAAAGAGAAAAAAAAAACTGAATGATTTAATTTATTTGAGAAACAGTTAATTTATCTTCTTTTTTGCATCATTTTATAGAAGGGGTCGATAAGATAATTTAAAAATTTTTGGGGGTTGATTATCAAAAACTTTTGGTAACCCCTGGTGAAATGGATAGTACGCTGGACTTTGAATCCAGTGATCCGAGTTCAATCTCGGTGGAACCTTATTTTTTTCACGTCAAAAGAGTTAAATTTCAATGTTTCACTTTTTGTGGAAAGTTCGTTACTCTTGTATTTTCTTATAAATTAATCGAGAGGCTACCAACTTGTATTACCGTTTCCAAAGCGATTACAAGTTTCATCAAATGTTTTCATAGGAAATATTCTTTCATTTTTATTTACTTCTTCCTTACTGTTAAGATTGTTTCTTTTGAATTGCTAAACGTTTCTAATAAAAGTTATCAGAATTATGTATTTGATGCTTAAAAGAGCCGTGGAAAAAGTTTCATAATTTTGATAACCATACGTTTTTTAAGCGAAACTGATACAATAATAAAGTTAATGACTGTTAAGGTTCCTGTCTACTAGCCAATTGAAATTTTTCGCATATCGTGTCACTCCTATGAAATTTCTAATTTCACCTTCAAACTTAGGCGACTGTATTCATTTGAAAATAATCAAATGCATCCGAATAAACAAAAATAAACGAATATTTATGAGTAATCACAATCGGCTTTTGAAAATATTTTTAAAGACTGGAAAACCAGTAAGCGAATCATTAAATTAGACGTGTATGATTGTTTATTAACGTCGCTCCTAAAAGCAACACGAGGCCTACAAGGGGACTGCTCTCGTAATTTTGAATCTCGATCAAGAGAGGAGTACGACACACAGTGCTGCCCCTCTCCTTCCCAAACTTCCCCACCATGCCAATATAAATGTTTGGGACCTCGGCATGGAGTTGTTTTTGGCGGGTCGAAAATAGGCATCAGAGTTCGAACCCGCGACTCGACAAAAATTACAGTGGTAGCGAGCCAACAACCATAAACACTGGGCGACCTCGGCTACTGAAATACGTGTAAAAGTATTTTAAACATCCGAAAAAAAATGTAATTTTGCAAAAGTTTCTTTTTCTTTTGAATGTGTACTATACTGCACTCAAATACGTATAATGGTGTGAGGAAGAAAATAGAAATTCCATAGGATTCCCATAGGATACGTTCACAAAACCAAAACGGCTGGTAGTGTGAACCTTAACGAATCTGTGACTTTTCAAAAAATATTTAAATAATATATTTCCTCGGGCGTCACCCTAGTACGTATTCTTCAATTAATAATAAATGGTTTCCTTTAAATTACTAATATTTGTTTTCTATACGAAAGTATGGTTTAAAATATGACTGCATAAAAAGAATCATATAAAAATAATTCATCTACTCTTAGATAATATTTCATAAAATATGGTTGATTCAACAGTCGCTAAAGAATCGCATTTTTTTTTTTTGTTTCGGGAATCCCACGATCTTTAATGCATCTTTTCCGACTAATTCAATATCTATTTATAAATAAAACTGGTTTAATTTCGACGCGCTGTTTTGATCGTTTTCATTGTCTTACCAGGACACAGCCATGGGAGGGTTTTCATTGTGTAGTATTGAACCAATATAATCCTCCTACAACACTTTACCTTAAATATAAAAATAATGGATACTGTTTCTCTGGTGATTTTTAGATTCCTTTCTGTACAGCAAATAAATGTCAATGATATCTTCATTATTTCACAATATCAATAGCTACATTCAATTTAGAAAGAAAGAAACCTTCTGTATTGGATACAGAATCATTTATTATAGAGATGAACAAGAATACTTGGAACTCTTATTTTCATCTCTTATCAAAAGAAGCCTCTAGATGCCGACAACTGCAGGTCTTTCTCTTTCTAAAATTGCATCAAATTTGTTCTTCACTTTCGCCTTCGTGTTGTTTCCAGTGCGACGTTAATAAAATTAACCAACCATTTTTCCTTTTTTTTTATTCATTAAGCTTGATATTTTATCCGATCTTTTTGAAAACAGTTTTCGTTTAAACAGTTTTGAGCAAAACGGAGCTTTCAAACTTTCTTTTTATATAAATACGGGCTCATTCTTTTCACATACTTTCTTTTCATACAACTTACTTTCTCACGTTCACTTTTATTCCTCCCTTTATTTTTATATTCATAACTGATATATGCTGCTATTATATAGCAATTTTTTCCAATTTCGTTCCCTCGTTTATTCAAAGCAGTACTTTACTGCTAAGAATTCAGGCTTGATCAATTTATATTTTTTTAATAATTTAACTTATTTTAACAGCCACACATTGGTACGTTAAACGCTTTAGTAAATATTCACCGTTGAAGACTTATCGATGAACTGAACACCTGCTTCAAGCTCGCTATTAAAAGCTGTGAAACACGCTGGAATCCAGTGATCGGAGTTCAAATCTCGGTGGAACCTGATTTGAACTCCGATGGAACCTGATTTTTTTTTCTTTTTCCAGTTTAAACACCTTCTTCATTAATCCATCGTTATTCTAAGCATATTTAATCTTATACTAGCTATAAATACATATAAAAAAAATTGTAACATCCAACAAAACAGGCACGTTTCATTAAAAATTTACGGTTGAAATTCGTCTCTCTCTCTCATTTAAAGAGAAACATTTTAAGTTTTATTTATGAGTATCTTCCTCTATATCTCTATAAGTGGGTAATGATTGGAGATTTATTTTACGAGCCAATAGATTTTGACGGGTGAAAAGTATGTAGAATGCGTCTGTAGATTTTGTGTGTGTGTAATGCTTCGCAGTTCAAAAATCATTATTCTCCAGTGGTCTCTAGTAGTCATGGTCACGACCGGCGGTTTTCGTTCAGTCGTGGGTTCGAGCCTTGATGCCACTCAAGACTCGTCGTGTATCCCAGGCTGATGCACGTGAAGTCCATCGAGTTTCAGTTCTTCCATTGGCGTGGTGCAGGAGAGGGACGTGCCAGCTCAGGTATCGTTCTCATCACTAGACCGAGGCTCAAATTTACGAGGTCCCTCACCAATAGCTCTCGTGTTGCTTCTAGTGCTACCTTAATAAAACCAATCAATCAATTGTGCAATTCAAAATTTTAACTACAATTGCTTTAAATTTTTATATTTTATGCAATTTTTTTACATTTTATTTACTTCTTTCGAGAATTGTGTTGACCTCAGGGACTTGCCTTCTTTAGGTAAGTAGGGCCATTATGACCCCGAGGCACCCTGGTGATCTTTTTCTTTCCCATGTGGTTTATCGTCTTTGGTAAACTCGCGTGACGTACTCCTGGGGTACCCTAGCGATCCTTCTCTATATTCGACCCTCCTTCTTGTCAATCAATTTTCGTTTTTTTTTTTCTCAATTTTTTTCACGTCTAGACAACAGTTAAATCTTTTTTGGCGCAGCAGAGCCACATCTGGCTCTTGCGCCAATAACTTTTACATTACCTCACTCACTCACTCACTCGAGAATTGTGTTCACATTTTCATTTTAGTCAATATTTTTATGAGAAAAAAGTGGATATGGAGATTTATGAAATGAGGAGATGGAGATATTAATTTTTATAATTATGCACTTTTTGAGGAAAGACATGTTTTTTTCCGATGACTCCACTATAAAACATTTGTTTTACTTTCAACTTGATTAACTATCTAATCAAATAATGTTATGTGAGAAGAAAACTTGTTTTTTTTCTTCATAAATGGTGTTTTCTTACTCCTTTACATAAAGACAACTTATGTATGGAATATTAAATACCTTTTTGGATAGAGAAGTTAAGACTTATTTGTGTGACGTAATTCAGTTCGCATACAAAAGACGAAAAAAGACTTTAAGTAAGAGCAGGTAATTCTGTGGAGGAATGGTTAACACGTTCAATTTTCGTTTAAATTTTAAATTTATAAGCCGAGAATGGTTTTGGCCATCCAACTCACTTTAAGATTTTAGCTTTCTTTAAATAAAAAAAAGTATCTATAACCTTGTTGTATTTTCAGAAAGTAAAAGAAATATGAATGTTTGGGGGTTTGTTTTGAATGATCTAGAATAGGAATAGGAGTCGAAAGAATTCGAAGTAAATCACTATGTGGAATAAGCAGTAGACAGTGGGAGAAGTGGTACATCATTCAGTGTCTGAATCATTCTGGTTCGTGGATTCTTGATCAAAATAAAACCAGTTAAAAGCAGCTGTACATGAATTTCAGTTTTTCCAGATCTCTCAGATAACAAAAAGTTAAAATTTGAATAGTAACACACGTAGTCGATGATTTTATTTCCTAAACGGAGACGATTATTGAATGTGATTTTATTTAAATTTAAAACGTTTTTCTGTATTTCACTTGGTGTGTGTGTGTCATCAAATTTTCGATCGTTAATTTAACTAACTTACCATTAAGCTAGAGCTCTGAAACTTTGGGAATCGTTCTTACTCGCCTAACAATGCAATATTTAGACATTTGCGACAACTTTTAACTAATATTTCCTTTAATAATGCAGTTTAGCCCAACCTCT